TCTCCTTACTTCCCCAAGCGCCCTTGTGTTAGCTAAGCTACTTAAGATGGCATCTGAAGTCAAATGAAAAATTATTCCTCACACTGGATCTCTCCCATGTCTACAGAAGGTATACTGTTATAATTAAAACTTCTTTTTAATTTTTTCTCTAATCAATCTGTTTGATGTTTATTTGATTATTTGCCAACCTAGAATAACCCAGAGAGGTTTGGGATGATTTCTTCTGTTGTTGGGGCACTCAGAAAAGAGCAATTCATCAATCTATCACTCTAAGAAGAGATGGACTGACCATCTGCATCAAGGTCATTACCAGCTCAGGACAAATTAGGTGACTGAGAAGCAAAGAGCTCTCAAACCTCCTGTTGGAAGGAGAGTGAGGAGCAAACTCTGAGTCCATAAACGATGTCCTGAACAGGTCCTACCCCCTTTCACCTTCCCCACCCTACCCCTACACCTCCAACCTCTCGGGCACCTAGCATTACAACTCCATGCCGTGAACTGGCCTTCCTGGCTGGGGACTTTGGGAGGAAGGGGCAGTTGGTTGTGTTGAACAGGGCAGGAGCAATGAAAACAGCAGACACTTCTCCTGGTCTTTCTTCACTTTTCTGGCTTTAGTTCTTTGGTAAGCAGGGATGGTTCTGTTATAGGACAGGGAGAGGGGTACTGTCATACTGGACATTCATGGACAATGCTGCTGACTAATTGTTACTTCTCTTACACACATTGTAACCCTAAAAAAAGACTGTCTCCTAAGACTACACCCTGAGATCTGTGCCACCATAGATATGGTGGAATAAAAACTAAAAGGGGGGATTGTAACAGGGTGGTCCCCAGGAAAGGGGGAGGTTCCAGGTTCCCTGCCCCACCCAAGGGAGGGTGAAGCTGAGCAGGAAGAGGAAAAGCTGCAGAAGAGACTAAGGAAGGAAGCAGGATGGAGCCAGGAGACCTGGAGGAGGCGCATGGAGCCTAGAGACATGTGAAGAAACTGCGCTTGTCTTTGGGTTGTGGACTGGGTGACACAGATGTGGGTGAGACCCATGGGGAGGTGACAATGGCAGTTTTTATCTTGATGTTGATTTTGCTCTTTTCCTTCCGGGCTTGTCTGGTTGTTTCTGACCCTTTTCTGTGGGTCCCCACTGGAAGATGCTTTAGACTTGTAGCAGGCTTTGGGGCCTTGCTCTGGGCCAATCCCATTTGGATGGACTTTTACCCACGAGGGGACGGGTAACTTTGGGTGCTTCATTTAGAAACTAGACTCTTTGCCTTACCTGTATTGTTTCCTAGTTTTATTAAAGTTCCTTCCCCTTAAAGTCTCCTATGTTTTGTGTTGATGCGGCGGATGGCAGAACCCATTTAGAATAGGCAGGTTTGCGGGGTTTGGGCTGCCCCTCTCCCTGTCCTATAACAGTTCCACTCTGAGAGACTATGGCAGCCACCATCTGGAACATGTGGATTCAATTTGGGTGGTACATTTTACACTTTAGCTCTCTCCTCTGCCCAGCTCTTTGGGTCCTACACAACCTCTTGCTTGTGCTTCTTGCCAGGAGATTTCTTGGGTTTGTCTCCTGGCAGAACTGCTTTGGGCCTTGGCCACTCCACTTTGGGGCCTGCCCAGCTGATGGAATGGATGCCCATGAGGGGGTGGGTGATTTCAGAGTCTGAGCTGAAGTCTGTAGTTTGAAATCCTTCTTTACTCTCTATTCCTCTTCTCCCCTCTCTCTACCCCCTTTGAATCTCTCGCTGTATAAGAAACTTTTGAGTGTTTGATTACTTTGCTTTGATGCTCACAGATTGGCCAGGAATCCTTAGAACAGGCAACATGGGCTTTTCCCCTTAATAATTTAGAGTCCTTGATTTTGCACAGTATCTGTTTTGGTTCCCTATAGTTTTGCCCAATATTTCTTCCTTCCTAGAGCACAGGAATGATCATTCTACTTTACTCGTGCTCCCATCCCCCACCATCTGCTTCACCCATAACCGCGGACACAGAGCATTCTACCACACTCTCCCCAAAGCTGCAGCACTGACACACTCTTCTACTCTCAAATAAGAACCACAGTCAAGTTGTCCTCCAGTCTAGGATGACTGGGTATAATAAGACTCATGGAAGAACTGGATAGAAAATATTGAGGTACTTTTGAGGCCATAATTCAGATATTTGAATTTAGATGGAATAAACAAATAATTATTAGAACAATAGTGATACTGACACAATACATCAAGACTTATAAGGCTTTTTCTTATATTTTCTCATTAATTCTCACAACACTTTAGAGTTATCATTACTGAGGATGATATCATTACTGAGGATGGGGAAACTGAGGCACAGAGAGAACAAGTATTAGCAGTAAAGTTTCAAAAGTTGTAAAACATAAACTAGGGTTAAATGTAGGTTTATGGGTAAAACACTCAGTTTTAAGGAGAGATTATTGGTCAAAGACAAAAAGGAAGGACTTTAATTTGTCAGAAAAGACTGACATGCTAACGATAGGAAAGGGAGCTATTATTGTACCATGGGTAGCAGGGTTCAGGGCTTCGAATCCAAGAATGGAATTAGAACTAACTAGCATTAGGCAGGGAGCTGGCTGAGGGCTTCATGGTACTAGGCAGCAGACGTTGGTGAGACTTGGGATTAAAAAAAATTACTATGGAGAATTTAGAAAACACTAGAAAACTATCAAAGAAAATATTTTACTTAAGAATATTTTCTTAATCCTTTAAATGCCCATTGTATAAAATCAACCTTCCAATGCTTTTCAATACATGTTTTTATCGTGAGGATTCATTTTCTTTTTAACATGGATATTATCTGTGAAATTTCTCCTATCAATACATAGGTGTTGTCATTTTTCTATACTCTTATTATCATCATTAGATATTATTTCATTTCAAACTCAGGTCATTTGATTGGGCAGTTTTGAAAGGGGAGAAGAGCATTTACATTTATTTGGATACTTAGTAAAGTTAAAATTTACCAGTTATTTTTCATATTTTTCTTTTGCCTTTTTATGTCCTTTCTCCCTATATTGATGGGGGACCGGGTATTTGCATTATTGAATTTATATGAGCTATGTTTATTAAAGAGTTATCCTTTGCAGAATTTCCTACATCATTATCTGTAGATTTTTTTTTATTGCTTCTTTGACTTTGGTGATTTTTTTGGATGTATACAAGTTTTAAATTTGTATGGAGTCAGATCTATCAATCACATCCTCAGTAATTTATTCCAGTAATTCTAAGCTCAGAAAACCCTTCCCCATAGAAGTTTTGATAAATATTCACATCTATTTTCTTCTAGATTTTCTAACAGTTTAGGTTTTTAAATATTTAACTCTTTAATCCATCTGGAATTTATTTTGACATTCCTGTTGTGGTAAAATATATTCAAAATTCTTCAAAAAATAATAAAACACTTAACACCTCACACATTTCACTATCAGCATAAACCTTGGAGGCCAAGTGGTACTGGCTTTAAAAGCCTGCAAATTTCTTAATAGACTTCAGGAACTTCCCCCCTCCCATTTCACCTTCCCCACCCCCAATAGCACAAGATGCAAAATATCCATGGTTGCCAGTCATTGCTCCAAGTGAGTTTATCAGCAGGCTGCACACCCAACATAGGTCTCTCTTTCATTATTAAGAAGAGTAAGTAATAAATAAGAGCCGGCTCCCACCAATCATTAGTAAATCCTCCAAAGAAAATTAAGCACATATTGGAGTCTTGTCCCTAATGGACTGGTGCAATCTCCCTGGCTGCATCGTTTAACCAAAGAAAACTTTGCTGGCTTCTGATCGCTGCCTCTCCTTAAAAGAACACATGCAGAAGAAACCAGAATTCTCGCGTTTGATTTCTCCCCACACTAGGGAAACATTCAGCCGCTCCTGCTTCTAGCCCAAAGGCAGCCACGTCTGGCTCTGCACTGAAAAAGATTTGTAGCTTATTGTCCTGATGGACGCCAGGGTAATGGAATAGCTCTGTGCTCCGTCCTGGAAAGGCAGGCGCACCCGGCATTGTGCTATTGACGGCTCGCATTATAATGGAGAAATATTAGAGGGATATTTCAATAGCCACCCAGAGGAGAAACAGTAGCTATAAGAATGCCAGACTGCCCCAAGGAGAGTGAAGGGGACATAAAACAGGGGGAGGGGTGCCCATGCTTCAGGGAGAAAAAAGTCCACCATGAGAGTATTTATTCATTCAAAGCCTGTTTGCTAACCTGGTTCTCCAGAGAAGGGCAGTCAGGATCTCGGGTAAGTGAACCCCACAATTACAGCATTATTAATTTATGCAGCTCTGTAGACTACACATAGGGCTTTATGGTAATTAAGTTATAGATAAAGTCAGGTGAGTCTCCCTCTGAATATAAATAGCTGGGTTCTGTTAACCATACACTCAAAAAACCAGTGGATTTTTAAGCAAAGATTGTGTCTGGTAAACACATATTTGACACAGAAGCTGTCAGTGATATAATGTTCAAAAAAAAAAAGTACCGCCTAACGATAGATTTAGCAGGGAAGCAGAATGACAGAGACTTAGCCCTTCCAGAGGCAAGTAGGGAGGGTGAAGGCGAGAGGATTGATGAGTCCCCTCCTGATGAGACCTGTATTGCCAGCATGCAGGGCTTCCAGCAGACATTGGGGAGGGGTGACATCCATTATCTCGGTCACCCAGAATGGCCAGAAATGGATTAAACCAAGACATAGCCCTTAAAAAGTGGCATCTACTGGACCCAGCCATTTACTTCCAGGAATTCATTCTAAATAAAAATCATTGTGATGGCTAATTTTTCGTGTCACCTTGACTGGGTGAAGGGAGTCCCAGATATTGGGTTACACATTATTTATGGTGTGTCTCTGAGGGTGATCTGGATGAGAACAGCCGTGGAATTTGTAGCCTGAGTAAAGAAGATTGTCCTCCCCAATGTGAGTCAGCCTCACCTAATCTGTTGAAGGCCTGAATAGAATAGAAGACTGAGTAAAAAAGAATTCCTTCTCCCTACCTGACTGTCCTTGACTGGCACATCAGTCTTCTGCCTTCCACTCAGACTTGAGTTAGAATGACCATGTTGGCTATTCTGGTCCTCAAGGCTCTGGACTTGGGCTAGAATTGTATCATTCACTCTCCCAGCTCTCCTCCAGCTTGCCTCCTGCAGATCCTGGGCTTCTGAATTTGCAAAGTCACGGGAGAAAAAAATAAATTTATATGTTATGTTGGATATATATATATACACACACATATATATTTATATTGTGTTGGTTCCATTTCTTTGAAGAACTCAGACTAATACAACCTTAGATACATACAAATATTTTGCTACAAATATGTTTATCACAGTATTATTTATAATAGCAAAATTTGAATTCACTTTTTTTTCACCTAATATTTTGTAGTGAACAAAATTCCATGTTTATGGATATATTTCCATGTTGAATGATTACAGTCTTCCACTGATTAATAAATACATTATAATTTATTTAATCAATACCTGCAAGGATTTAAGAATGATTTTATATGTCCTTTATTAATTTCATTAATTTGAGACAAGCACAGTAAACAAACACCATAAATATTGTGTGATGAATTTCTGTTGAAATTGCAGGAATACCTACTCTAGTAGTTCCAATAAGATTCTTATAAATATATTTTATTACCAATAAAATGCCTACTTGTAAGGCATTTTTATTGTATTTAGTCAGTTATTTAATTGATCTAATTTTATGCCAGACTCTGATTCATGTCCCTGAGTAACCAACATATTGAATATGGTTAAGGTAATATCTTCAAGGTTGTGAAAATTATACACAGAAGTAAAGTTATGTAGACTTGTGCACCTAAGGAAAAGTTTAGGATACTGTGTTAGTCACTTATTGCTGCAGAGCAAATTACCTTCAGATTTAGTGGCTTAAAGTTACATTAGTTATCCAGTTATTTCTGTAGTTCAGTAACCCAAACATGGCTAAGCTAACTACTCTGGTTTTGATCTCTCAGAAGGCAGGAGTCAAGGTATGATCTGGTTTCTGCTAAAACTCAACTTGGAGTCCATCCACTTTTAAGTTCATTCAAGAGCTTAACAGGAGTCAGTTCCTTGTTCATTGTTGGCCTGAGATCTTCCTTAGTTCTTGTTTGACTTGTAGAGAGCAGCTGACAGCAAAGCAGCTGGTATCCCCAGAGTGAGAGAGTGAGAAGGCAAAATAAGAAGTACACAGAAGTCACAATCCTTTGTAGTGCTGCCATATTTAGCAAATAAAAATGTAAGGTGCACAAGCTTGTGCTTAAGGTGGAAATTTATAACTGTAAACACATACATTAAAATAGAAGGACGATGTCAGATCAATAACCTAACTGTATACGTTAAGGAACTAGAAAGAGAAAGACAAACTAAACCAAAACTAGCAGAAAGAAGGAAATAATAAAGTTTAGTCTGGAAATAAATGAAGTAGAAATCTAAAAAAAAAAAAAAGAAAGAAAAAAATCAAGGAAACCAGTCTTTGAAAATATGAACAAAACTGTCAAACCTTTAGCTAGATTAAGAAAAAGAAGAGAGAATTTCTCAAATTGGAAATGAAAAGGGGGACCTTTCCACAAACTTTATAGAAATAAAAAGGATTAAACAAATACATGAACAATTATACAGTAACGAATTCAGTAACCTAGAGAAAATGATAAAGTCTTACACACAACCTACTAGACTGATTCATGAAGAAGTAGAACATCTAAACAGATCTATAAATAATAATGAGATTGAACCAATACCCAAGTACCTCCCAACCAATAAAATTTCAGGACCAGATAGTTTCATCAGTAAATTCTACAAAAAATAGAAGGAAGAATTAACACCAACCTATACAAATTTTTTTTCAAAAAAAGAAGTTGAGGTCAGGAAAACACTTGTTTACGAGGCCAGCATTAACCTGGCACTAAAACCAGACAAACATTACAAGGAAAAAAATACATAGACACTCTCCCTGATGAATATTAATGCAAAACTACTCAACAAAACACTAGTGAATAAAATTCGACAACACATTAGAAGGATCATGCACCATGACCAAATGGGATTTACTCTTGGAATGCAAAAATGGTTCAACATATGAAAATCAATCAATGTAATACACCACATTAACAGAACGAAGAGGGAAAACATATGATCATTTCAATTGATGCAGAAAAAGCATCTGACAAAAAATAATAAAACTAAAAAAAAGAAAGAAAAATTCATGATAATAAAATAATAAATAAATTAAATTAAATAATAAAAATAATAAAAAATAAATTCAACAAACTAGAAGCAGGAAAATCCACAGCCCACATGCTCAAGGGTGAAAGTTTTCCCTAAGATCAGAAACAAGACAAGGAATCCTGTCTTGCTACATCTATTGAACATAGTACTAGAAATCTGAGCCAGAGGAGTTAGGCAGGAAAAAGGAACAAAAGTCATCAAAATTATAAAGAAAGAAAAGTAAAATTGTCCCTGTTTGCAGATGACATGAACTTACGTGCAGAAAACCTTAATGATTCTACACCAAAAAAACTTCTGCATAAAAATTAACATACAAAAATCAGTTGTGTTTCTATTTGCAAACCATGAATAACCTGAGAAGGAAATTGAGAAAATAATTCCATTTACAATAGCATTAAATAGAATACATTCAAGGAGTAAAATTCACCAAGGAGATGAAAGACTTGTATTAAAAACTGCAAAACATTGGTATATGAAATTAAAGATGACACAAATAAATGAAAACATTTAATGTTGTTAACATGCCAATACTACACCAAGCTGTCTACAAATTGATGCAATAACTGTCAATTCCCAGTAGCATTTTTTGTAGAAATGGAAAATCTTTTTCAGAAGTAGAAAGTGCCCTGGTAGAATTCTTATGGCATCTCAAGGAACTCCAAATAGGTAAAACAACCTTGAAAAAGAAGAACAAAGTTAGAGGTCTCACACTTCTTGATTTCAAAACTCATTACAAGTCTACAGTATAAAAAAATGTGGAACTGACATAAAGACATATATAGGACAATGGAATGGAAGAGAGTTCAGACATAAATTTTGATATATACAATCAAATGATTTCAACACAACAGATAAGACTTCTCAACAGGGAGAGAAAAGTCCCTTCAACAAATGGTGCTGAGAAAACTAAATACCCCATGCGAGAGTATGAAAATGGACCTCCCCGGGGGCCTAGGGGTTAGTCTCAGGGCTAACACTGCCATAGCCTGAGTTCAGTTCCCAACAAAGGAGCTACCCACATGGCACAGCAGACCTCTCCTGTCTTACCTGCTGCTCCCCTCAGCAGTGCATTTCAGTAGATCCACCTGTTCTGTACCCCACTTGGTCTCTGGTGAGTCCTCTCACCCCCTGCAACTCTGGCCTACACCCCCATTCTTATATGCATAAATAAATAATCTTTTTAAAAAGACTTAAAAAAAAATGAAAATGGACTCAAACTATATACAAAACAAACAAACAAACAAAACTCAAGATGGACTGAAACTTCAGAACTCTTAGAAAAAAACATGGAAGAAAAGATTCACAAAAATGAACTTGGAAAGAATTTCTTGGAAATGACACCAAATCATGGACCACAAAAGTAATCATAGAAAACTGGACTACATTAAAATTTGAAATGTCTATGCATAAAAGGAATCAATCAATAAGGCGAAAAGACAACCCGCAGAAAGGAGCAAATGCTTGAGGGTATCTTCCAGATCATTTTGGTCAAGGCCTAATTTCCAAAATATACAATGAACTCTTAAAACTCAACAACAAAAGAAAAAAACCCAATTCAAAAATGAGAAAGGATTTTAATAGACATATCTTCCAAGATGACATACAAAAATTAATAGGATGCTTAGCATCACTAATTATTAGGGAAATGCAAATAAAAGCACAAAGTGATATCACCTAAAACCCACTTGCATGACATCTAAAGACAAATACAGTGTGCTGGCAAATATGGAGAAACAGGAATCCTTAGAAATTGTTGGTAAGAATGTGAAATGACGAAGCCACTATGTAAACCAGTATGGAGGGTCTCAAAAAATTAAAACATATGATATAGCAGAAGCACTTTTAGATATAAATGCAAAAGAAGTAAAAGCAGTATCTCTATGAGATTTGTAACATCCATGTGTATAGCAGCACTATTTATTGGGTTGTTGGAAAAGTCATGACACCTTTTTTTCTATGTTTTTCAAAGAAAAAATTCACCATGACTTTTTCCAACAACCCAATACAATAGATCAGTGATAGAAGCAACTCAAGTATCCATCAATGGATAGCAGATAAACAGAATGTGGTAATACACACCAGGCGATACTATTCTGCCTTAAAAAGAAGGAAAGTCTGACAAGCTACAGTATGAATGAAACTTGAAGACATTATATTAAGTAAAATAAATCAGTGACACACACTGTATGGTTCCAATGTGCAGGCACCAAGTGCAGTCAAATTCATAGAAACAGAAATAAAACAGTGATTGCCAAGACCAAGGAGGAGAAGAAAGAGACTTTTCAGTTAATAGATGCACAATTTGTTCTACAAGATGAAAAAATTAGAGATTAGTTGCATAACAGTGTGAATATATTTCTGTGTATTAAGTGTTCTGAATTGTACACTTAAAAATGGTTGATGATAAATTTTGTTATGTTTTTATCACAATGAAAAATAAAAATTTTAAATGTAAGTCACCTAGTTAAATTATATTTTAAATAAACACTGAATAATTTTAGCATAGGTATGTCCTAAATATTGCTTGAGACAAACATATTGAAAAACTACTCAGTCTTTATCTGAACTTCAACTCTAAGTCTTCCATAAGAGGTAAAATTACATTACATTTCATTTTCATGTATAATGAGGAAATAATTTTTAGTAACTTTGAATTATTAAGGGTCACAATTATTTCTTTTTATAAACTAGAAATGGCAATGTTTTTAGTTTGCTGAAAACTTGAATTTATTATTTCACCCTGTCACCACAGTGCACATTTTTTAAGGTTTTTTCCCCCTAAAAGAACTTAATTAAATAATTAAAAGTCTTATAATTTGAAAGGACCTAGAATTTGAAAGGAACTATCTTCATCCATGGGTGTCAGCACTGTCTTAAACTGACTGTGGTTTTCAGTTGCTATTATTGTATAAAATGGTAGATT